ATTTAACTTCTACGCAAAGCGATAAAATTCTCAACGAAACCTTACACGGCCAATCCTTCCTCTGTTCGAAACTCCTTGGACAACGATGCGGTATTAATATGATATTCAAAGAGATTCAATTAAGTTCATTTTCTGAGAGATTTGCTACGAACGGTGAAATTTGTTGGCTGAGATGTGAATGTGAAAATGAAAGTTATATTAGAAAAAAAGACAAATGTATTGAGATTCAGCAACAAACTACTGCAACAAATGATCCGACGACCGTTGGAATTGAAAAAAATTCGGTGAGTTGTTCTTTCCTTCATTATAAATTAATATTATTATATCATATAAATTTAATATGCTTTCAATCAATATTTCTGTGGAAATATTGGGAAGAAATTATATGCTTATCAACCGCAACCAAGCAACTAATTTGAGCAATAATTTTTCTATCGAAAATCAAGTTTTACCAACAACTTTTCATCAAATTGGTCTAATATTTCATCCATGGATTCTGTATTTATCAAATCAACTGATAAGAATCAAATGATTAAAATGACCACGTTTCACTTAACATTTATTCAATGATTATTCAAAAATTTTTTGCTTTTTCACATCCTTAGATCGCAAACCTTATCTCCACATAAGCTGAATATTCAACTGTTTTAACGGTCGAAAAAAGAATGACCGCAATGTATTTCATATAAACGTTTATATTTATATATTTTATTTTATTTTATTTATTTTATTTTATATATTATGTATTTTATACATTTTTATATTTTATATTTTATATTTATTGTTTTATATATTTTATAATTTTATCAACGTCTCATTTAATTTAAAGACTCGTCCTCATTCTATTAACGATGAAAGAATTTATAAAGTTGGTGATAAAATAATCGATTATGGTTGCCGAAAAACTTTTGAAAAATGTGGAACTAATATGATATTCAAAACTGTTTCAAAAATACTCTTTTCTGAATTCACATTTTCTTTTTATCGATGTCTTCAAAGATGCTCGTGTATCAACGGTAAATACTTTGAGAGTGACGGGCAGTGCATGGAAAGAAAAAAGCCTCTTCTTGATAACTCTCATGGAAAAACCCAGGTGAATTAAATAAATAGACAGTAAAAGATGCGTGGTATTACTTTATTCATATGGAGAAAAATTCGTAGATTTTCATGACTCTCACCTGAGACATTTTGCATGAATCATAAAATGGAATGAGCATTACTGATATTTGCAATATTTGCTTGTTCGGAGAATTGAATAAATATTCATGAAAATTAAGTTATGGTGACATTTCATGGTGCAATTTTTCGCACCTTGTATTTTCTTGAAACTTGTTGAAGTCCTATTTAATTCACATCATTATTTAAATCTAGACGACTATTTCGAATCAAATTCTCAATTTCGCTCGTGCTGATATTGCTAATAGCGACAATTTCTACAAGAAATACGTATGTTTGATGATGCGGGGGCGTAAATGTGGAATTTTTATGACATTCAAGGAAATTCAGCCAAGTAATATACCGGAAAATTCCTTTTTAAGCGATGAAATTTGTTGGTTGAGATGCCAGTGCGAAAATGAAAAATATGTTGGAAAAGGCGGTGAATCTAGTAAAAGCGAGGAGTTCACAGCTCGAACAAGAATGACCAGGGTGGAAGTTCAATTAGTGAAAAATCGTGTAAACTTTTGGCCTATTTTAATTTAATTTTTTTTATTATTTTATTGTTTATTATTTTATTATTTAATTAGAAGGTCAGTACGAGCAAAAGCTTGCGCAGGAAACAAAAAATCTGCAACTGAAATATTATTAAATGTTAATAAATATTAGAAAATAAGCTTTGAAACACTTTGTTAGATAGTTTCGAGAAGGACTAACCTAAACGCTATCGGAAAACTATGTCCGATACAATCAAAAGAGTTATTAAACATGTAAGTCGTCCATCGATATAATGCAAAGAGTAGTTAGTTTCATTAAGTTAGTTTAAGCAGTCTGGAGACCCTTGTAGGGTAATTTATAACCCTTGTAATTGTAACCCTTATAATTTTCCGCTTAAAAAGAATAGCCACCCTTAAATGGGTTTTCACTTCTGAATCCGTGAATTCCAGGAAATTGGCTTATGCGAAAGAGGTCACTGTAGGCTTAATGCAAGAGTGGCTGATTCATGTACCAATGCGAATAAGCCTTGTGGTCCAAACATGAAATTCGTAGTTACTTTTCGCTATCCACTTGTTCAAGGAAAAATGGACGAAATATGTGATTTATGGTGCAAACTTGACAATGCGTTTGACGACATAGAAGGAATGTGCGTTTTCGCTTCTTCCGATCGCGCAAAGGAAATTCATTTTTAAGTTGATTTTCTTTATTTGCATTTGCTTTTGCATGAAATAAATACAAATGGAATTTCTTTATTTTACTTGAATAGATTTATTTGTAAAAATTAATAAATATGATTGCAATATTTAAAAAATTGAAAAAACGAATTAAAGAATTCCTTAAAATTATTGATAAAATGTTTTAGAAATTTAGAAAATTGAAATGGTGCGTGTGTTATTGCAAAATTTCACCAAATGTTGCGCCAAACGCTGTTATAACAGATTTCCAACATTCTAAAATTGTTTGAAACAAGCCAAAATTTCACCGTATTTTGCGGAAAATGCGCGTTAACCAAGTTGTTGGGGAGAG